TGGCCATCAGAACGTCAGCAATACGTGTCAACATGTAGTCACTATCGGGAACAGGAGGGACAGATTTCAGGTTCACGTAAGTAACGGCTTGAGGTGCTAGGCTAACGTGATCTGCAGAACACAGACGGGGTTGAGCTGGTGTTGGGTCGTCATGGTAACACGGTAAATCAAGTTGAAGCATGCCGCACCTCCACCAAATATTACGGGGGTGAGAGAATGAATGAAATAAATATATTTACAAAATATACAGGGAGAGTCAGAGGCAGCTTCAGCCAAGATGGAAGAACAGCAGCAACAACAACACAAGCACGGTCGCTTTCATCGTCTTCGTCGTCTATGATGCTCTTTCGTTGCCGATGCCGTGTAACAATATTGTCATGACGCAGACACAGCAGAAGTCGGATATAGAAGAGCTTACTTTAATTAAATGCAAGGGACTAGTAAAGAGGACCGGGCAAAACTTCATCTTTTTTTCTTGCTGCGGGAGCTCTTTTCTGCAGGTTGAATGCGACATTTGCCTCCCTAGATGAAGAGCATCGTCCCGATGCTCTGCTACAAAATACGCGGTGTATGTAGTTCACGTATTATACAACTGGCTCACTGCATTATGGCTTCATCCGCACAATGTGTACAATTTCTAATTTCTGCTGGCGAGTTTGTGAGGAACCTTGTCAGTGTTTGGCTCAAGAAGTGAAACCGCTTGCGTTATTTCTTGGCGCACAACTTCTGTGAACGACGCAATCGAGCAGTAATTCGGTGTGGCGGCGAGCTTGTTTACCTCTTCTTGCACAATTTCGCGTATCAGGTCACGCAAAGAACGCTCGTCAGGTGTCACAGTGGTCACGGTAGTTGCGCTGATTTGTCTGTTGTTGTTTGGTCAGTCGTACTGCTGGTAGCGTAGCTGTAGTGCATGTTCGATGGCCGTCGCCTGCTTCGAAAATTCGTCGACGCTTGAAGGTGGGTTCCGCACGAGACCAGCAAAGAGCTGCTCTTTAACACCGCGCATGAGGTAGCTGATCTTTGTGCTCTCGGACATATCGGGACTGGCTCGATGGAAGAGACGAGCCATGTCCTCAACAAACATAGCAACAGATTCGTTTGGCTTTTGAATCCGTGATTCGAGGAGTAGTTGTGCATGCTCCCGTCTTTCGGTGTTTGTGAAGGTGTCCAGGAACTTCCACCAGAACTAGTCCCACGTTGACCACATGCCATTCGTGAACCATGTGCGAGCCCCATCCTAAAGAGGGAAATACACGTACCCCAACTTCTGTGCAGCGTTACACCCGTTAACGTTGGCTGTGCGCTCAAGCCAGTCATCTACGTCCTCATATGTGTTGCCATGGAAGTTCACAGGAATTTCAGGGGTGAGAACAGTCACCTGTGTCGTGCTTTGGCTGGTCATGGCGGGGCTACTGCTTTCGGGCGCGGTCATGTTTTCCGTCCAAGGACCGAAATCTGGGCTCAGGCCCAACAGGCAATGGATGGCGCGGTGAACGGGTGTTTCGACGAGCGGAAGTTTTTGTGGACTAGACCCCGGGCTATTGGAAGGTGTCCGGACATGTACCCTGCTCCTCCACTAGTGTCACCATGCACACACAGCAGAAGTCGGATGTAGAATAGAAGAGCTCACTTTAATTAAATGCAAGGCACTCGTAAAGAGAACCGGGCGAAAATTTCGTCTTTCTTTCTAACTGCGCGAGGTCTTCCCTGCAGGTTGTGCAGTTTGAATGCGGCAATATGTATGTGTATATATATATATATATATATATATATACTGAGAGTACTATTTTAATGAGCCAGTTTGTCTCCATGAAGAAATGGGTTATAATATAACAGAAGCACAGTCAACATCGATACATATATTTGTTTCCCAAGAGTTTCGAGAGGGGTTCTCCCTTCGTCAGTGGATGAGTTGAACTAACGAAGACGTTCATTCTTGTTTGCTGCTGCGTCACTCTTACCTTGAAAGATGTTTGCAAGAGTAAGAAAAAACTAGGAAAAGAGAAAAAAGAAATAAAACGACGTTACAAAAAGTTTCAAAATAACAAGGAAGAACGCAAACAACGACACCTGACTGTGCACAGCCAAAAGTCGTTGGAAGTCCACACTTAGTTCTGATCCTGTGGTGGCGGCTGGTTCTCGACGTGTGTGGGCCCACCCAAAATTGTCGCCGCGGTAGGTAAAAGGAGCTCACCCTGCCGCGCATGTGGGAAGAGTCTCCCCTTAGTGGGTCGGCTTTCCACCTTTTATCTCCGCCTGTTTCTTCTCAATGGCCTTCAAGTAGTAGGAAAGCGTAAGCACTTTACGTACGTAAAAAAAATAAGAGAAAAGAAACAAGGAAAGACACTGTACATGTACGAGCCAGTAAAAAAACAAGCATGATGTCCGGTTATGAATCTCTGTTGCCAATTTCCTCCTGGCTTACTTCCAGGAGGCAGGAGATTCTTCCAGGGTCCTCGTTGATGCTGGCTACTAATGTTCTCAATTTGAAAATAAAATAAGCCTCACGCTGTTCGTGCTCGTGCCTATTTGGAATCCAGACTGCAGAAGTGTTACGCTGATATTTTCAAAACTGTGGTTTGGCAGGCGCAGATGTCATGACAAAGATAGCTTCAGCAGTGAAGTGGCGTGATACCAGTGATAATAGAGCCGCAGCCGAAATGGCATGTCTTGTTGGTCATTTGACCCCAAAAAAAAAGAAACGCCTTGTGCGTGAAGCGGCGTTTCTTTGGTTTTAGAGTGAGTCTAGAGCTCCTGATTGCTTGAAGTATGGGTTGAAGGTGCTGGAGGTGTTTGTAGAAGCTTGACAAAAACACAAAGCGTCATCCAAGTAAACATTGCAAATCTCTCAAGCCAGCCAGGACTGTATCCATAACTCATTGGAAAGTCGCAGGTGCCATGAAAAGACCAAAAGGCATGACCTTGAACTCGAACAGGTCATCCGGTGTTATAAAGGCAGTCTTTTCTCGATTTATCTCGTCAACTTCGATTCGCAGTAGCCGGTTTTCAGATCCTATCAAGAAAAGTACCTCGCATTGGGAAGTCGATCTAGGGCGTCGTCTATCCGTGGGAGCGGGCATACGTCCTTCTTTGTGGTTTTGTTTAGGCAGCGATAGTCATCGCAAAAGCATATAGTGCCGTCCTTCACTAACACCACCGGTGACGCCAATGGACTCTTTGAAGGCTGGGTGATGACGTCATGTAGCATTTCGTCGACTTGCTTTTTTTTTATGGCCTCGCGTTCTTGCGTTGGAACTCTGTACGGGTTCTGGCGGAGTGGCCTAGCACATTCTTCCGTTACAATTCGATGTTTCGCTACAGGGGTCTGTTGAATTCGTGACAGTGACGAAAAGCAGTTTTTCTATTTCAGGAGCAGGTTTCTGAGCTGTTCTTGTTCATGCGTCTGAAGGCTCGGATTAACGTCGAAAGCTGGTTGATGGGCTTGAGCCGTCGAAGTGCATTCGGCAGAATCGGTGACGGCGAAAACTTTGCTGGTTTCAGTACGTATATTTCTTCCATCTAGGCAACCGTCGTACATTTGCTCACGTGCTTGTACTTCTTGCTGAAGTTAACGAGGATCACTCTTGTGTTATCTTCCCGCAGGTTGGCTATTCCTCTCGTGACGCGAATTTCGCGGTTGATCAACAGGTGCTGGTCGCCTTCAAGAATGCTTTGCAAATCTGTTGATTCTTGAGTGCCTACAAAAATGCTGACGCTGGACTGAGGAGGAACGGTCACTTGGTCTTCTAGCACATTCGAAGTGTGCCTTTCTGACGACGTGCTTGGCGGCAGTGCTTTTTCCGTGGAAAGCGTTATTGCCTCAGACGTTAGGTCGGTGATGGCGCGGTGTTGACTTGAGAAGTCCATCCCAAATACCCCACAGTCCCTGGAGCAGTGCTGTAGAATTAGAAAGCTGGCATGTGAAGTCCGGTTATTGATGCTGACTCTTGCTGTGAACACACCAGCCGGCGTAATTAGATGACCCCCAGCGGTGTGGATTTGAGGGTCTAGCCAAGAAGTCTTCACTTTCATCGACTTCATCGCCAAAGGCCCAGTGATGACGGAATAGTCAGCCCTGGTGTCGACGAGAGCAAGACGTTAGGGCTGTCGAATATTACATCGAGGTCGTTAGTTTGTCGTCATGCATTGCGCTTAGGTCGTGGCATCGGGGCACGGCTACGTCGGCTTGCTCCACTGCTTCCACGCGGCGGCGCCAGGTCTTTGTTCAGCCGGAAAGATTTCATTTCAGGGCTCTGTCCTGCTTGCGGCGTGTTAACGTTTCGTCGCATTGTCAGCGGCAGGCTCATTGCACCATCATCGGCTCGTTCCGCCATCAGTCTTAGTGTTCCGAATATGGACTTAGAAATTGGCTAAGAATACTGGCGTTGTTTCGGTGACATGTAGCGGCCTGGCAACGATGAACGATAAGGTCGTTGGTGTCTCTGCTGCACTCCTGCGAGGTAATCAGCAATACCTTGAGGTCATTCATCCTGCTGTAGACGCGGTGCATTCACGTCGAATCCGCATAGCCCCATTTATCGGTACTGGCAGTGGCGGTACGTGTGCCCTGCTTCACCGCAGCTGTGGTAGTACAAAGGGCGGTGGTCAGGGAGGCGCTAAATGTCATTCTTCCTATAGGAGCGTAGCGTTGGCCAGCAGGTAGGCGGAATGGCATCGGTGGTGATGGAACTGCGGTGGGGCAGTGTCCCGAAGCAGCGTTTGATGAGCATCACGGCACACTGCAGCAGCATAGTTCAGAGCTTCTGGCTCAGGCTGCGGCGCATCGGGGATTCCAAGGGATTGCCGAACTTCTTTGAGGACAATGTCGGCAATTCGGCGATTGAATCCACTTAAGGCTGCGATCGCTCGGATTGTTTGTTGCAGATCGTCGGTGCTGGGGGCATGAGCCTCGGAGTAGTTGCCTGTTGAACAGCAACGGTTATACTGCCTTGTACACATTTCTCGGTTGTTGTGGCCTCAATGAGGAATTCTTCAGATGTCTTGGGTTGGTTGCGCATAAGGCCCTCAAACAACCCTTCCTTGACACCTCGTATCAGGAATCGTAGCTTCTCCTCAGCTATGGCGAGTCTGCGTGACGAAACAAGCAGATCATCTCTTCAAAGGATGATGATGTTTTCGTTGGGGAGTTGCGCACGCGTCTCCATTATAGTAGCAGCCCGTTCCTTGCGAACGACGCTTGTGAACGTACTAAGAAGCATTGTCCAGAAGATATCCCAGCTTCGTTGTGTGGACTTCCGCTACTCAAACCACGACTTCACGGCATATTCTAGATAAAAATACATGCGGCGTCATTTCTCATCAGGGTCCCAGCTGTTCAAGGCAGAGACTCAGTCATACGTCTCCAGCCAACTTTCTGGGTCTTCTACAGATGATCCACAGAACGTTGGTAGCTCTTTAGGCTGCTGGAGCATGATTGGCGCAGGTGGCACAGTGGTGGTCATCGTGCCTGTGTTTGAAGCCACTCTTGGTTTGCCTGGTTCTCTCAGGTAGATGCCCGAACTCTGGCAGTAACCTTGTTGCCTGCGGCTTGTTTGCTGCTCGAGGTTGTCGTCGATGTCTTCACAACTGACGCTTGGCTCACGGTCTGACAGAGGCATCTGGTACATGACGGAAACGTCACCATCACCAGGTGTCACGAGGTCGTGACGTCGACGAATAAAGCATACTGTAGTTAGAAGATCAAACTGTTTATTCAGCCGAACTTCCGGTCCGTAAGCTAAAGGTCAAACTACAGCGATTCACACTGGCACTGATAACTGCGAACAGAGCGTCGGCCATTGATCAACTGACAAACAGCGATGCGCGTCGGCATTTATACACGTGCCATTGAATATTCTAGGATTATGGCTAGTGGCCGCGTAGTTTCCAGAATAATCTGTAATGTTCGCGAAGTGGACGGAACCTTAAGGAAATGATCTACAACAGTCTCGAAGCTTCTCAAATGCTGCAGGCGCGGTTCGTGCTGAGAATTACGTACAATGTGACAGGGCAATAACAAAACTTGAGTAAGGAACATGGCAATATTTATTCTAGTCACCTATCACCACTGACAGCATGTGTGACGTTGAACAAATTACTGCATCGGGCTCGTGTTGCGGTGAAATGAGGTGTGGTGTCACAACATCATATGCTCTCCTGAAAGAACTTACCGCTTCGTCTTGTCAGCGCCAGTTCATCAGTCGTGTCGGCTTGCACGCTAAAAAGCTGAAAGCGCGCCAGATGGATTTGTCAAGGAATGCCTACCGTGCACGAACAAGCTGCGATCGTAGAGGAACTGCTACAGAATAACAGAGCACTGAGACTCGTTCTGAAAAGATTGGGCTTGCAAACAGAGACACAAGATGGTTGTCGAGACACCACAAAGACCGACTGAACATGCTGCACAACAGCAGAAAAAAAAAGGCGTGAAAA